TTCTGGCTTAAATACAAATTCGACTTAAGGTCAGACCTTGGGAACGGAACTTGTTCTTAAACTGGGGAATACCTGTATAACAATGAGAAAAAGAATTGTAATAAGTACAACAAAGAAGTTGGGGAATAAGAAAGCTATATCATGTAACAGGAGCCCTAGATTTATACACAAGAGCTAGCAATCAATAATCAACAGACATTACAGTATGCATAGCCTGATGTGTGCAAATGGATATTTCTGAGTCCTTTTGAGGGGCTGGAATGCATTAACAACACCACTGTCTGTTTCAGACTATCTACTCCAAGAAAAGTAAAAATCAGCACAAGACTGCACAGATGCCCTGTTCAGGAGGGAGGAAAGGAAACAGAATGTTCCAGAGCCAGATAATTTTGCACACCTCTACCGAGTAGAACTCTTACTCATATTACAGCTTGGTTAAGAACTAAGCCTGAAAGAGGCAGTTTATTCAAAGTTACTTTGTGATTCATGTCTGAGCAGAGATTTAAAGCAGGCCCTGGCAGCTCCCAGCATATGTTCTTCACCAGGCAAGATCCGATTTGTATGCCTTCTTTCACAGTCATCACAGGTTTGCATTTTATAGGGCTCATTTTTTAAAAGAGAAACAGAAACTACATACTATATATTATCATATTTTTAGCTAACCTTTCCACTACCACACTCAAGGCAGTTCATAAGGACATTGTTAGAGGTAGGCAGTGTAAGTAACCAGAGTTGGCTCAACTGAGCTCCGAGCATACCTTGCTCTTGCCAGTAAGATGAACAGTGTCTGCCCTGCAGCCACATTGCTACTGAAGTTTCAGCAAAAGCACTACTTTTTCAATAGGACATTCCACATTTGCTTCACAAGTCATAATATTATTTCTATTTCATTACAAAATACCACAAAACTCAGAAACCACTCAACAGATTAATCTGAAACCCCACTATGTATTATGCAAGCAGTTAGATAAAAAAAATCAAAGGAATTAAACACGTATAGATGTGAAAGGAATGTTCAAAAATACTTTTGCTCACCAATTTTCAGCACATTTAAGATATACTATTTACAAATCAGAGAGTGCAAATGCATCTGATTTTCTGACACAGATAAATGTAGAGCAGATGAGAAAGAGAAGTGGCCCTACGTGAGTCTTATCCGGTTTGTTATTTGGTCTAGAATACACTCTGGTGATGTTCAGCCCCAGCAGCAACACCTAACCAACACTGGCTCATCTGGAAAGACTAAGCAGAACTGGATGAAGAAATCCAAGGGATCTCAGGGTCAAGGCTGGAAAAAACACACCAAGAAGGCAGTGGCAAACCATTTCTGTTCTGAGGACAAGAAAACAGCCTGGAGAGACTCACACAGCCACCCCTCGATTCAAGGGAATTTAAATTGTTTAGCGTATTTTCTCTCAGCCCAAAGTCACATTTTACCTTTGCAATGGCTCTGTTAAGTATTCTTTTGACTTAGACATATTGGCTGGATTCACCCATAGTGCTAAGCCATAATAATAGCTTATTTCAGTTGTGAGAACCTAGCCCTTACCATTTATGGTTTAGGATTCAATGTATTGTATGAACCTACCCAACTATGTTCCATTAACTAACTATAGTTAAATAATCCATATTTAGCGCACTCTGTGAACCTAATCAGTGACTGACTAAATCTCACCCAGTAAACTTTATGGTTGTGGAAGAATTTGAAGTTAGGTCTCTGCAGTCTCAGCCCAACATTTTAACCATTACAGTTATATATTTATATTATACACACACACAGAATTTCTAACCCACATATTCATTGTCAAAAACAATTCCAAAGCATATAATATTTTAACACATAACATACAACAGCAACATGTTTAAAGGTAACAACAAAAAAGTGCAATAAAAACAAGCAAAAAACACCACAGAACTGCTGTAAGCATGAATAGTAGGGACCAGTGTTTCTCAACCTTGGCAACTTTAAATGGACTTCAGTTCCCAGAATTCCCCAGCCAGCATCATTAAGAAGATCCTGTTAAAGAACTGCTGAGAGTCTGTATGCAATTGTAGCGGGATATAAATGTGATATTATAAATAGATAAAATAAACATGGAATTGAAGGCACAACAACTCAAATTTACCCACAGTGTATATGTTGCCTTTTGTTTACTGCTGAAGATGTCATTTACTTCAGAGTTCCCATTCTGGATGTAAGCCTTTATGTGGACAGCTAACGGGCAAAGTAACAGCCATCATTTCCTTGGAAGAAAGAAAGGAAAGGAGGAGGGGAAAGGGGAAGGAATCTCACATTCCAAAAGAGACCAATGCCTAAAGTCAAATGCATGACATCAAGCAGAGTTTCGATTCAGCTGAAGCACAAAAAACCCTGCCCAGCTCCCTACAGTGAGCCACTCCCTTGTAGCCCATTTGACAGCAAATCAGGCTTCATGTGTATTAATATGCTGTTGCCATTTGCAAAGCAACATGTTCCAAAGCTTGGGCCTCAGCTGTCCTCAATTCCCTCTACAGAAGTTTGTCAGACAATTGCCCTGGCTCTTAGTTGAGAAATCATACCTACAACTTTTCAACATGTCTGTTGTCAGGTCTTTTTAATGTTTAATCTTCAGAGCGCAGTAGCTCCTGCCAAATGGCTTAAAATCCCAAGCATGTTCTTTATTTCCTCTCCAAGTGAATGCTGGTGTTATTCCTGTTTCTTATAAAGCAGAACCTGTCCAGCACTTGCCTCAACAAAAACAGGTTAATCAAATCCAGCCATTGTTCTTTCCCTGGTCTCCTTTGTGCATTTAAGGTGCTTTTCCCCAGCATTCCCACTTTACTTTTAGGATAATGCAGGACAACCCCGGGGGCAGGGGGAAAGTAAAAAAAAGTCACTATGGCCACTGCAAGATCAAAGCCCCACCCTCTTTTTTTCACATGTAAAAAGGGATAGGCCTTCTATCATATGCTTGTGGATGACACCTTAACTTTTTTTACACCCCCACGTGGATACTCCTGGGGTAGTTTCTCCTTAAAGTATTAGTAATAGGTCACTGAACCCCCCCCCCCCCCACACACACACACAATAGTTAGGGCACATGCTGAATGTAAAAAAACCATAAAAGATAGCACTTGGCAGCTGATATGCAATGTATTCATATTTCAGATTCTAACTACCATCTTCTTCCCTCCAAGAAATTTATAACTTTTGTGAGGAGAACCTTGAAACTGATTGTCTTCTAGTAATCTTGGATGTTTTTCTCTTTGGAAAATATACATAAGGCAGCATTCAGGGTTGACTTAAAGAAGCTTTATTTTCTGTTCTACAATATATCCATTTCTACCATCTTCTCAGCAGATCTCTACTTGCCACCCCAATGACTCACATAGATCCGTTCCAGACAAGGATTTGCAAAGGCTATTATCCCCTCCCGATACATAATTTCTTTTTATCTCCAAATTATACAAAGTCTCTTCCCTCCGACATCATGCAACCTTCATTCTCCTTCTGCAAAACTCTACTCTTTGTTTACTCTAGCATGTATTTGCAGGTTTCATAGTACCTGGCACACATAGCTCTTCGTATTTTTGAAAAGATGTTATAAAGCCACACAGAATTCAAGGCTTAATCTAGGAATAAAAAGTTCCAGTAATGTAGTTTCAAAATACTTTCAAAGAACTACTTGCCAGGAGTGAAAGAGAATGACTAGCCTAAAGTTGCTCGATGACTTCTGAGTTTGCATAGGAACTAGAAACTGAGTCTTCCTGGTCCAGCTCCAGTATCTTAACCACTATGGATGTCACACAAACCATGGGAGAAAAAAATCAATTCCAACTCATCCAAATGGGTACTGCAAGGCGTGATCCTAGCTTATCAAGTAATTTCAGGGTTTGGAGGCAGGAGGATGAAGGATCTTGGGGCCCAGTATTTCCCACTGAAGGAAAACGTTCAGCAAAAGATTTCAAGTGAAATCCTGATTGCAATATTGGTGCAAACTAAAGGTTTGGGTTTTTCAACAGTGATGCAGACTTCACCTTCAGGATAGTAGAGCTGCTTTGCAAAAGATGAAATTCATCACTAAGGAGGGAAAGTACATCTTTTTGGATGACAGCTGGCTAATCAGGTCAGGAGGCTTTTAAACTAGAACACAAGAGGGCGGGAGTCAAAAGATCGTTGCTAAATAAAAATGAGCAAGTACTGGATTTAATACAGCAGCAAAGCAAGGTGTTTTGGAAACTACTGGTTTAAGAAAGAAGCAAAGGATAAACAGGCATAAAGAAAAGCGTGCTGAACACAGGGAGTCTAACACATTATCTTGAATGTCTCTACATTAATGCCCAAAGCATGGGTAACAAGCAAGATGAGATACAAGGCAAGTATGGTATTACAGGGATTACAGAACCACGGTAGGATAAATCCCATCAGTAGAACATTGGATTTGATGGGAACTTTGTTTCAGAGGATACCTTTTTCAGAGGAGGCCTTGTATACCTTTCAGAGGCAACACAAGATAGGAGCTGGAATAGTATTGTGCATCAAAAATGGATTTACCTGTTCAACCAGTGAACTGATGGTTACACATGTTGAAAACATCTGGCTTAAGATATCTTGCTAGGAGTATGCTATACATCACCAAATCAGTCAGAAGAAGTAGATGAAGATTTATTAAAACAAGTAATTGAATCTTCAAAAAAACCTGAAATGGTGTGATGGCTGATTTCAATTACTCTAAAATTTGCCAAATAAAAAATTCTGCTACACACAAAATGTCAGATAAATTCTTGACTTGGGCTGGAGATAACTTTATTTTGAAAACATTGAGGGGGTCAGTAGAGAATCTCCTACCTTGGACTTGGTTCTTTTTACAAGGATAAGTAGAATGGAAATATTAAAGTGGTAGGAAGTTTGGGGACAAACAAACATGCATTGTTAAGGTTCTTGATTTTAACAACTCAAACTCAAACCATGGATTTTAATAAACTGTAAGAAATGGTAAGGAAGATGCCATGGAAAGGAAACCTTATGGACTTTATTGTATTGCAACTGGCTGGGAC